AGGAGGAGTAGATTGATAAATCAAATAAAAGAGAGTATCAAAGTTAAATCGCGGAAGCAAAATAGGTATACAAGAGCTTAAAGCTCTGATACCATGTAAGAAAGTGGAGTTTTGAGATTGAAGAACAAGAGAGAGATGAGAGAAAAGAGTAAAGAAGGAGAAACTTTTTCCTTAGATCTGAAAAAATAACGTTACAATAGGTTATAAAGAGAGGGGATATTCTTATTCTAGTAACCAAACACACTTGGCTTACTAGAGAAGCTAGAATAAATAACTACTATATTTATTTAATTCAATAATCTCCTCGATGGAACCTAAACCAAACGCCGTCGTTTACGACTCCTGCTCGCCGTGGATCCTCGACGTGTGCCGGAAATATCCCGGCGTCGCTGCGGCGTCGTTTTTCACTCAGTGCTCCGCCGTGAACGCGGTTTACATCCATTTCTTGAGGGGAGAGTTTAAGGAGTTTCAAGACGACGTCGTCTTGCCTGCGATGCCTCCGTTGAGAGGTAGTGACTTGCCGGTGTTTTTGTACGACAGTAATATTTGCCGACCGTTGTTTGAGCTCACTTGTGGCCAGTTTGTGAATCTTGAACACATTGACTTCTTCTTGGTTAACTCTTTCGATGAGCTCGAAGTTGAGGTAATTATTATTCTATATCTTAGACTTTTTGTTGTTGTTTATTTTCTCCACGTGATTTACTGTCCTACATAACGATGGATGGTGCATACTGTCCTGCCTAATCACTGTCTCAGTACTTCATGTGATCATGTGAACCATATAAAAATTTACGATATAAGCAAAGGCACAGCAATATTTTAGATGCATTTCAAATGTAGACTTGGTAGGTTCATGTATGAAATGAAATTTAATGATAGTGTCGTAAGATATCATTATGATTAAACTATAGCAAAAAGACAAGAACAAGAATAGACGAGAAAAGGACATTCATAAAGATATATATCAATTAATTGGGGGACCATGCATCCTAAGAAGCGGATTATGTAATTCTAACCATAACACCAAAATTTATGTTATTTTTAATACTGAATTTGATGTTCTATTTTATTTTTCATCTCTAATTTTAACACTAAAATTTATGTTACTTTATATTATTATAATTTTAAAATTTAATAAATATTAATTTTTTATAGTTGATTAGTTACTATTAAAAATTAAAGACTTAAAACTAAAATTAAAGACTTATAATTAGGTCCTCCACTTATTAGCCTACAGACGCGCCGAGTCCAGACTTTTCTGTTTGGTTCTTGATAGCAAACGTTTTAGTCTAGTTTGGTTGACACATTGACATGAACGGTTGATTGTGTATTAATGTACTTAATTAGTGTATATACAACCAAGCTTTACTAACGTTTCTTTTTTCTTTTTTTTGGGTCAAATACTAACGTTTCTTTTATTCCATGTATTTACTATGATATATCTTTTTCTTCTCAGGTGGTAGAATGGATGAAGAACCAATGGCCAATCAAGAACATAGGACCAATGATTCCATCAATGTACTTAGACAAACGATTAGCAGGCGACAAAGACTACGGAGTCAGTCTCTTCAATGCTCAAGTCAACGAGTGCCTTGATTGGCTTGACTCAAAACAGCATGGTTCAGTGATCTACATTTCCTTCGGAAGCTTAGCGGTTTTAAAAGATGATCAAATGATCGAAGTTGCGGCTAGTCTAAAACAAACCGGGTATAATTTCTTATGGGTGGTTAGAGAAAAAGAGAGAAAGAAGCTCCCAAGCAATTACATAGAGGAAATTGGTGAAAGAGGACTGATAGTAAATTGGAGTCCTCAGCTACAGGTTCTTGCGCATAAATCAATTGGTTGCTTCATGACGCATTGCGGGTGGAATTCAATTCTAGAGGCATTGAGCTTAGGAGTGGCTTTGGTTGGAATGCCGGCTTATAGTGATCAGCCAACTAATGCAAAGTTTATAGAAGATGTGCGGAAGGTTGGAGTTAGGGTAAAGGCAGATAAAAATGGGTTTGTGACTAAGGAAGAGATTTTGAGATGTGTTGGAGAAGTTATGGAGGAGACGTCGGAGAAAAGGAAAGAGATTAGAAAGAATGCTCTGAAATTGATGGAGTTTGCAAAAGAAGCTTTGGCTGAAGGAGGAAACTCTGATAAGAATATTGATGAATTTGTTGCTAAAATTACTAGGTAAACTGAATTTGTACCAATGTGTGATGCTTAATAATGTGTTTTTGGAGTTTCAGAAAACTAAGAATTTTATAATGTAATTGTGTGTTTTTTTTTTGGAGTTGGCTTTTGGTATGAACAACGTGAAAATAATGAGCCAGAAAAATTTCGGGGATTGAGAAAAATAGAGAAAAGAACTTAAGTTTTGTGTTTTACAAAAAAAAAAAACTTAAGTTTTATGTTCTTCGTAAATGCCATACACCATATCTATCACTAAAATATTTAAGAGTCTCAATATTTTAGCATCAACTGAAAGAAAACTTACTTTTATAAATTAGAGATGTCACTAGTGTTTGCTAATATGAGCCTTTTTTGCTTTGGAAAACTAAGTTGATTATATCAATAGTTTTTTTTTTTTGTTACAAGCTTTTCAATCACATATGTTTATACAAAGTGTTGATGTGTTTAACTTATAACGGGTAGAATAGCCCATTATTTTTACAAGTCCAATTTAGAAAGAATACCCAAGGAGTTGGTAAAAGTTGCAATTAACTAGTGAAAGAGGAGGTTTGAAAAATGATTGATTTTCAGATCCCTCCTCATGCTCACTGAAGAAGAAAAATTGAACAAGCTATTTCATTAATAAACCAGCTCAGTGTGTCTTCTTCTTTGCTAATTTAAAGTGAAGATTGAGATGTGTACTATTATTAGCAGCTTGCTTTCCTCCGATCTGAGCGATGCAAGAGATGCATCCGAGATTTGAATGACAGATTGTCTTAAACCAAAGGGAGTTCAAGGATCATTTCAGAACCTACAGTTTATTAATTGTCAGGTACTAAATGAAGGCACATGTTGTCAAAAATAAAAATAAAAAATGAAGGCACATTGAGTAATTGTCTCTCTTAGTTCCAGTGAGTATATAAAATGTACAAGTGTTAGTTTGAGTTGCCAAAAAGTTTATATTTATTTAATCATATTTTGATGTATCCATGCCACTTCAACTGAATTTGACTTGAATCACTTTTATTCTTATGTAATTTCTTTCTTTAACCTTCATTTATTTTATAAATAATAATAAAAAATTACTATTTTACAATATAAGAAAATCTACTAGTTTCAAAACCAAATCTTGAATATCATAGACTTTGAGGCTTAAATTCTATTTACTAACAACTACTAACAATTGACTAGTTAAACTGTCTACCCAAAAATTCTTAAATAGTGGTGGCTTTTGTCAAATGGAAAATTTCATAAAAATACCACAACTAAAATTTATTAAACTTTTTAATACTCATTTTTTTTCTTATCCATTTTAATACTCCAACTAATTTCTTTTCTTTTGATACATAAACTCTAAATTATTCTCTTTTAATACAAAACTTTGTTTATTTAATTAAAACTATTAATAATTTTCGAATAAAATTTTAAAAATCTAAGAAAAAATTTAAAAATTTCCAATTTTATTTAAAATTAGGGAAAGAAGGTAAATAAATTAGGAAAAAAAAAAATTAAAATTTCAATTTTGAAGGAAAAAATTATTTTCTATTTCAGAAATAAAATCAATTAAATATTTACAATTTAAATGTTTTATTACAAAATTTAAGATTCTACATAGTTTAGTTGCTTTTATTTCTCAAACAGTAAGTAAAATTATATTTTTTCAGAGATTTTCTTTTGTAAATTTTTCATATTTTTTAAAAAATTAACGGAATCTAGTTGGAGTATTTGTGAAATTTTTATTTTCACTAAATATAGGATATTTTCCACCAGCTAATCTCAAAAATGTTAAAAAAGTTATTTTAGTATTGGTTTTTAGGTACTTCTATATAAGTTTCAGTTACATGTGGCGAACGGCTATTGGTGGTGTGACTTCTAAGTTTTAGTTCTTCCGACGTTAAAACACCACTAAAAGGATTTTTTAGCATAACACTTAGTAAGTGGATTCCACAATTTTATTAAAAACCAACACTTAAATCTCTTCTCTAAAAGGTAATTCTTGTACCAATCTTGGGTTCCAATTACATGTAGCGGTCTGTAATTAGTTTTTTTTATCAGATTAAAGGAAAAAAAATTTAGGGTTAATGATGCTCTTACTCAAAGCTTTAAAAGTTCACTCACACGTGTACATAAGTAGTTGGTTAACTATTTATACCACGTAGATACGGAAGCCTATATTAAAGCGAGATGACTAGAAGAGAGTTTGGTAACCCTAGCTACGAGCGAGAAGAAAACGGAGATTTAGTATCTTTTTAGACTTTTGTACCACTCGATCATGGATTACTCTGATGATGATGGCATGCTCGATACAGATTCAGGTGAAGATAATTTATACAGTGAAAACGCTGCCGACGACAGTGATCCTGGATTCGCCGAGGAAGGCTTGGACAACAAGGATTCCACATCTCAGCTAAGTTACGTAGTTCTTAACGAAGAAGACATTCGCAAGCATCAAAGGACCGATATCGAACAAGTTTCTATGGTTCTCTCTATAAGCCAAGTTGAAGCGATCGCTCTCCTTCTTCACTATCAGTGGAATGTTAGTAAAGTCGAAGATGAATGGTTTACTGATGAAGAAAAAGTCCGTAAAAGCGTCGGTTTATTGAAGGAGCCTCTTGTTTTGATGACCTTAACTACGGATTGAATATTGAATGTGGGATTTGTTTTGATTCATATCTTCATAAGGAGATTGCAACGGTTTCTTGTGGTCATTCATATTGCAAGACTTGTTGGACCGGTTACATCACTTCGAAAATCAACGATGGTCCGGGTTGTTTGATTTTTAAATGTCCGGACACTTCTTGTTCTGCCGTGGTTGGTCATGATATGATCAATAATCTTGTAACCATGGAAGAGGATAAGGAGAAATATAACAAATATTTTCTTAGGTCTTATGTCGAATCTAGCCAGAAGAAGATAAAATGGTGTCCATCACCTGGATGCGAACACGCTGTTGATTTGGGAGGTGAAAGTGATGAAAACTATGATGTTTCTTGTTTATGTTCCAATGAATTTTGTTGGAACTGCTGCGAAGATGCTCATCGTCCTGTGGATTGCGACACGGTGGCCAAATGGATATTCAAGAACAAGGATGAATCCGAGAACACGACTTGGATACTTGCCAATACAAAGCCTTGTCCTAACTGCAAACGTCAGATCGAGAAGAACCAAGGATGCAACAATATGATATGCTCCATTTGCAGACATATGTTTTGTTGGGCTTGTCTTGGTCCATTGGGTAATCACTCTTGCCACAGGTATAAGGGTGATAAGGAGACTGAAGTTAAGCGAGAAAGGGCGAAAGAGGCAATCGATAGGTACATGCATTATTACGAAAGATGGTCAAGCAATCAATCTTCGAGGGTAATGGCTATGGCAGATTTGAAGAAATTGGAATCGGTGCAGATTAAGAAGCTTAGTATCAAACATGGCATACCGAAAACTCAACTCCAATTCTTCGTAGAGGCATGGCTTCAGGTTAGTGGATTCTTGTAGTTAAATAACTAAGACTTTGGTAACATTTAAATGAATACAAGGTATGTAGAATGGAATGTTTGGATAGAATAAGATCAGAAGTAGCTTCAAAAATATATATTTCAAAAATATTGTTGACACCGATGAACATAAAACATTATTGTGTGATAGGTAAAAACTTGCAACCACTCTACAATATATGTGGGAGTTTGTAATGGGACTTTGTATTACAACATTATTGTGAAAAGCAAAACTATGTCTCGTGTACTTGATCTTGTCTTGTGTACTTGATCTTGTCTTTGTAGATCATTGAATGCAGAAGGGTCTTAAAATGGACATATGCATATGGATACTACCTTTCTGAGAAGGAAAGTACCAAGAAACGATTTTTTGAGTATTTACAAGGAGAAGCTGAATTTGGTTTGGAGAGGCTACATCAATGTGCGGAGTTGGAGTTTAAACAGCTCGTCAAGGAAACTGAAGATTTTTCTAAAAGTTTCGAAGATTTCAGGAGGAAGTTAATTGGTTTGACTAAAGTAACCAAAACTTACTTCGAAAATCTTGTGAAAGCTTTGGAGAATGGTCTTGCTGACGTGGAACACAATGAGAGCAATTCAGCAACAAAGAGTAAAAGACAAAAGTTGGTCTAATAGAGAAGATCCAAGTGTTACTGAGATCTCTTGGTTCAAGTACTATCTGTGTTTTTATGTTTTTTTTTTATGGCAAGGATGTAGAGTTTGCGACTTTTTCTTAACCTTATTTCCCAATTATTATTTAGAGACTTAGAGTTAGATTCAAGAGGAGTGACTCTAATATCCATAGACTGCAGATGAGAGGCTAAGCTTAATATTTACCTTCAAACTCGTTGCGGTTCCTATCCACCTTCTCATTCAGTGCATAAAGAGTTTTATTCATAGCGTCAAAGCTTTGAGTTATTAGATTCCGATATCTATTTGAGCATTTTTTTCAATCTTGCTATCACGAAGATGGAAAAATAGCTTTCTTGGACCTGGTGTTGATCACAGTCATTCACAGACATGACATGTTTCTGTTGAAGATGCATAAACTTGTATATCTGCTCTTTAAAAGATTTGATTTCATTTCTTGTGTAGTAATTGAGCCTCAATGTCTTTGTTAGATCGATCATAATCTTCTTCATAAGCAGCATCATACTGTGTTAAGCTCTCAACTATCAACATTCCATTTTCTTCAACTCGTCCCAGGAAGTAGCATTTCATAAAAATACATAATTATAAAAAAATACATTATTATTTTCATAATATACTATGTAAAAAATACATAAGTATTTAAATTTTGAAATTTTTAAAAATATGTATCATACTTTATTGATAAAAATTAAATATTTTTACAATTTTAATTTGACTATTTATTAAATATATATATATTTTATATATCTTTTTGTTATTATTAAAAGTTTTAAAAAAATATTTAATTAACAAATATTTAATAAAATATTTCACTCCTCGCATGTTATTATCTAGTTTTATTCTTAAAATACGATTAATCAGTGTTTATAAACATTTTTTTCTTAGAAAAGGTTTAAATTAACAAAGATATATAGTCCAAAATATCCTTTTTATTTCGAAATCTATAGTTTGAAACAAAATCTATAGTTTCTGTACAAAATCTTGAGAACAAAATCTAGAGTTTCTGAACAAAGATATATAGTCCAAAACTAGGGTCGGTCCGCGCTACGCGCGGGATATTTGCTTCGATTGGTGTTGAAACAGAACTATTTGTGTGGTCTAAGATTTTCGATAATTTGTTTGCATGAAACTACATGTCATGGGATTTTGTCATATCTATCATTGTTCTTTTGAGGTTGTGATGTTTGATTCACTTTAAAATTTTGTGTGTTAGCAACTTCAAGGTTTGATTGAATTTGTTAATTGGTTTGGTTTTCTTTCATGGTTATATATAGGCATGTTTTATTTTTTTTTACTTTGCGAATTAGTGGACAGTAGTATGATAATTGTGATTCTGCGTTGTTGGCTTGAAATTACATTTAGGATATATGACTTTTATTGTACGTAATTTAAATTTCATTTATAGTGGAGATGATAAAAGACACGAACATTTAATTTGATTTTCATGTACTTCTATTTATTTATTTATTTATTACTGTTAAGCATATCAAATAAATTTTTCTCAAACAGGCTATAGATGCAATATGTCGGCTGACTTAGTTATGGATTTAAGTTGGTTTCAACATGATAAAATATTGATTTTCACCCTATGGCTGATTAGGTTGCGTTTTTGGATAATTTCGGAAAATTTAGGTAAAAGTCAGTTTTTTGTTATTTTGGATTAAATATCATATAATTTTATTTTTAGATATATATTACCTAGCTAATTCAATTCTTCTGGTTAACTGGAATAATTTAAAAATATTTATGATTAAATAACATTTGGGTAATTAGTTCGTTTCGTGTGTTTCAGTTAATAAGTAGTGTTTTAAAAATAATTGATAATTACAAAACTAATCATAACTAAAACATTTTTTAGGTATATTAACTATACTTTAAATACTCGGTAACTCCTTCGGTTTCGGTTTAGTTCCGACCTTTTTCATTTTTTGTTTTTCTACTTTACAATATATGAAACGTTTGGTTATTTCTAAAATTTGTTCCAGTTTCAATTTGATTTAAGTAACAATGTTAGGAATGTACTAATGTCTGATAAAATATTGGTTCCAATTCGGTTCTGGGTTTTCGGAAATTTTTGATGATTCGGATAATAAATGTGTTTTTGGTCATTTGGATTAAATATCAGACAATTCAGATAAATTCAGATAGTTTTAAAATGTTTTGGAAAAAAATGTTAGGATAATTCTTCTTTTTCTGGTTGTGAGTTTATAAGTAGTATTTTAAAAATATTTGGTAATTTTAAAACTAAGAATATTTGGTGTTTTCTTGGTTCAGATTCGGTTTGGGATTTTTTTGATTCCATATATATGTGAACTGTTTGGTTATTTGTGAAATCAATTCGAATTTGAATTCATTTTTTTTTTCTGTTTTGGTTTGGTTATCAGTCAATACTAAAATAACTTAATACTAAGTAAGGATAATCACTATTCAATTTATTTTGTGGAATTTTATATCTAAAATTTTTACACAGCTAATTTTTTTATATATTTTTTGAAAATATATGAACCAATTCTTTGTATTCATCTGCTACATTTTGTGGATTTTTCCAGAACTTTGATCATGGCTTTTAAATTCTCGAATTGCTATTTAAGTAATGTCTCTGTCCGTGTTACACATCCACCAGAGTTGCTTATTCAATATCTAGTACCTGGTGTGCATCTTCTAAGTCTTGGATCATACTTTTTGTTCGCTTGAGTCCAACTCAAGTTAGGTTTTTTCCCTTGAGCTCAAACACCTGTTTTTCAGCATCCTCATCTTTGATCCTTTGCCTCTTTTCCAAGTATTGAGTCTTAGATTTTGATGGTTTAAGTTGCAACCCAAGTTGTGATTTACGTCTCTGCAACTCACTCACCTCTTATGATACATCTTTTATATTATTTGTTCTTCTCAATAAGTGCTCTCTGTCTCTGCAGCTCAACAGCCAGTTTTGCTTAGTCATATTTTACCTTTTGTCTTTGCTATTAAACTTGAGTGTAGCGTTTGTTTGTTTGTATTACGGCTCAAACTGTGATTTTTTTCTTTTGGGATTCTGTTTTTTGATTAACTTAGGAAATAGTGTAAGAGAAGTGTGTATAAGCAAATAGCAACTCAGAAGTACATCACGTAATAGTTTGCTCGTTGTGCCTTAAAGCTGTTTCAATTGTTGAGAGGTCACAAGAAAACTGAAACATGAAGTCTTTGAGTCTATGTGGCTTTTTCATATCTTGAAGATATTAGCACAATAATAATGTATAATACTAAAGAAGACAAAATATTAGTTAACTGGTGTTACTGTTTAGTTTCTTTATCAATAGTAATCAAGCTTCCTCCTTTCAGCGTGTACTTTTATTTCGTTAGAAGAAATAAAAGTAACACTATATTGGGTTTAAAAATGGAGATACGAAGCAAGCCATAGATGATTGTGTAAAATCAGTTTTAGAATATGAGAATCAACACGTAAATGGAATAAAAGACGTATATTAATTATGGAAGAAGAAGCGAACATGGTTCTTATATCATAAAACTTGATGGCGAAAACTAAACATGGTAGAAAATTCATAGAACTTGAAGAAAAAATATCATAACGCCAAAGATGGTTAAACTAAATATTAGGGTCTTCTGTTCCATCACCTAAGCAACTAATTCGTGTGTGTGTTTTTAGTGTGTTTCCTGCTGCTGGAACCAGTTGTTTCTCTGCATTGCTTCAGCTAGAAGTGGGTTGCTCTGCAGTGAATGTTGCATCCGATGCGCCAGGGTGGTTTGAGAGGTTGTCATCACCTCTGGTGATCTGAACAGTAGCTGTTTTCTCACCATCTGAGCAGTTGCAGGTGATACATGTGGCAGAAGGCATATTACTTCCAGGATAGTTGTGATGATACATGTGGCAGAAGGCATATCACCTCCAGGATAGTTGTGATTTCCTGTTTTAAATGAAAACGTTAAATCTTCATCCTTCATGCCAATAAAGAGGTGTGCTTCCAAAGGCTGTTTCAAATCAGAATCTTTTTTTTCTCTTGCAGCTCCAGAGATTGTTTCCTTACAGATTCCACCATCAACTCCATCATCTCTTTGTATTCCTTCCACTGAAATGAGAAGTCTAGAATCCCAGAAGCGGTCTTTGTCACCTGACTCAAGAATGGTCTACTAAATCCTCGTCCAACATCACACTAAGTTCAGTCCCATCAAACAAAAACAGTAAAAACTAAGAAATCAAGAGAAACCAAACACTATGGCTCTAAGAGTAAGAGACTTACTGATGTTCAAGATCTTCGGTTGGCAACGACCGACACTGGATCCTGCTCCAGCGTAACTCGTGGTGGTGATGACTCTGGTTCATAATGATCTAGATAATATGTTCTGTTAAAATGAAGCAAAAAATAATAATCAAAACTTCAAGACTGGCTCAGGAAGAATAAGAAGCTATAAAGTCTGATGAAAAAGAGTTTCCTTTAGCTATACTGAGAGAGAAGAAGCTAGAAAGATAATCAACAAACGGTCCCAACTTTTTTCATTCAAAAAAGGTTCAATAAAGATATGAACACAATAGCTTGATAATTTAAGTTAAAAATGCTGGAATATTTTTAAAGAAAATAATACACATCATCGTGCCACAGCTTTTCACATTCCTCAGCAATCAGATCAGCAAGGAGAACAGATGAGTTAGCCATTAGTCTGGAATTAATTTTTTTGAATTATCACTGTTTATCGAAAGAGATCATTACCCATGCCGAAAGAAATCGAATGATGCAAAAAGAAAATAAGATCAAACGACTTACGCAACGTAGTGGAGAGCCTTGCGTGATTTTTTTTTTTTGATCAAAGAGCCTTGCGTGATTAATCACGAAATTTGAGAGGTAGTGAAGAATCGCAGGAGAAACTGTTGGAGAAAACTGATAGACGGCTCCGTTCTTTTCTCACGAGCTTAGGTTTAACACTCTTGGGCCAATGACTATACGAAGTCCATTACGTAAACAATAAAAATAAACCCATAAAATATGTCCACGTGGACTTATCTACGTGGCGCTGATGTGGAGGCCTTCAGAGGAGAGATTACATTCTTTTATATAATAGACTAGGATAAGACCTGCGCCTTGCGCAGGGTGAATATATGTAATTAAAATATAAAATTTTAATATTCACAAATTTATAATTTACATATGATTGTTTTTGTATGTATTTGAAATTTTAGAATTTTGGAATTTTTATTTAATTATCTATACGTATGATCAAAAACAACTTTAATTAGAAATGTAAATCAAATCTTAGAATTTAATGGATCTGATTTCATATATTTTTTTACTTTTCAGTGTTCGAGTGATGGAAAATAAATGGAGTGTCACTGGGCTTGATTGGTAGAGTATAGCAAGTTCCCTAATGTTTTTAAAGAAGCAATTGGTAAAATATTTGCAATTAAAATATATAAAGTTTCTAAACTA